AAAAATGACGCAATTTCTAAAAATAGCAACAATGCAGCAATTTCTAAAAATAGAAAAAATGACGCAATTTCTAAAAATAGCAACAATGACGCAATTTCTAAAAATAGAAAAAAATGACGCAATTTCTAAAAATAGAAAAAATGACACAATTTCTAAAAATAGAAACAATGACGCAATTTATATATATATATATGTGTGTGTGTATATATATATACATGCATATATATATATATATATATATATATATATATATGCATGTATATATATATGCATATATATATTCAAAAAAAAAAAAAAATATATATATATACATGTATATATATGTATATATATTTGATATATATATATATATATATATATATATATATATATATATACATATGTGTATATATATATATATGTATATATATATATATTTGATATATATATATATATCTATATATATATATATATCTATATATATATATATATGCATATATATATTCAAAAAAAAAAAAAAAATATATATATATACATGTATATATATATATTTGATATATATATATATATTTATATATATATATATGTATATGTGTATATATATATATGTATATATATATATATATTTGATATATATACACACACACACACACATTTATATAAATAGCAAAGTTACAGTCAGTTACTGCCAAAACAATGAAAATTTCAATAATTTGACCTTCAAAGACAATGTCATTAATGAGTGAAGGTCAAGGTCTTTCGGTATTTTTTTAACAGTTCTCTTTCAAGATTATTATGTTCAAGTTTGAAGACAATCCATTCAAAAATAACAAAGTTACAGCCAATAATAGCCAAAAAAATGAAAATTTCAATAATTTGACCTTCAAAGTCAAGGTCATTGATGAGTGAAGGTCAAGGTCTGACTGGTTATTTTTAAGGGATATCCTTGAAGATTATCATGTTCAAGTTTGAAGACAATCCATTCAAAAATAACAAAGTTACAGCCAATAACAGCATGAACAAGCAAAAATTGGACTTTTAACCTTGAAGGTCAAGGTCATTTATGGATGAAGGTCAAGGTTAGTGTGGTCTACTGAAAGGTCTTGTCCCAAGGGTTGTTGTGGCCAAGTATGAAGACAATACACCAAGAAATAAAAAAGTTATGATCCAGGTACAAGTTTTCGGACGGCAACGGCAACGGCAACGGCAACGCCGACCTGACTATAACAATACCTCTACTTTTTTTTTCAAAAAAAAAAAGTCGAGCTAAAAACGGATATTCTCATAACGCACTTTTTACTTATAGTAGTGTATGAACTGACAATTTCATTCATAACGGTTAAGTGACATATCCTAAGAACGCAATTCATTCATAAAAGGCTCGCGTCAATGACGTCATTTAAAACAGGTGACTTGTCTTACATGGGGGGTGTAAGATAGAGTTTTCTAGCACCGGTGTAAACGGTAGATAATCCTGTCTGATATGCAAGAAAATCATTTGAGCAACACTTGCACAACCCAAGAATTTCCCTCTGAGATAGTCTTCCTCTGTTGATAAATATTTTCTAACATTGAAACAGATTTTCCTCTTAATATACTACTTTGTTATTTCAGTATTTTAATACAGCATAAGAATATCAGTTTTTAAATGTAACCTGCATAACAATAAATGTCATTTCTAACTAAAATACTTCAGAGGCATATTTGTTTTATCTTTCAAATATTCATTTATTCATAACTGGTTGGGCTTGGCAGGGTGGCCATTCCTGTAGGAATGAAGAAAATAACATATACTGATAATAAAGAGGTGTTCTGAGTCCATTTATTAAATTTATTCCTTAGAAATGCTTCCTTCCTTGCTTACCTGTACAAACTATTTCCAAAAATATAGGAATTTATAAGAATTTTGACCAATTATAGGAAAATATAGGAAATTTATAATAGCAAAATGGTCACAATATAGGAATATATAGGAAAATATAGGAGAGTGGACGCCCTGTATGAATGGTCACTGATGTGATGTTTAATTGAAATCCCACCAGTAGCTTGACTTGTGAAAGCCAAACAAGATTTTGGAACATGCAGGTGATGTGCACAACTAGGGATGGTACTGAACACTCTGGTAAAGTTTGGTTGAAATCCCACCAGTTGTTTGACCTGTGAAGGCTGAACAAGGCTTTTCTAAACCATTTTGTGCAGGGAAGTGAAATGTGCAGGTGATGTGCACAACTGATCACTCCTGTAAAGTTTGGTTGAAATCCCACCAGTAGTTTGACCTGTGAAGGCCAGACAACATTTTTCTATTTTTAGCTCTGGTGGCCATTTTAGTGCAGAAAAGAGAACATGTCAGTGATGTGCACAACTAGGGAAGGTACTGATCACTCCTGTAAAGTTTGGTTGAAATCCCACCAGTAGTTTGACCTGTGAAGGCCAGACAAGATTTTTCTATTTTTAGCTCTGGTAGCCATTTTGTGCAGAAAAGAGGAACATGTCAGAAATGTGCACAACAAGGGAAGGTACTGATCACTCCTGTAAAGTTTGGCTGAAATCCCACCAGTTGTATGACCTTCAAAGGTCGGACAAGATTTTTCTTTTTTCAGCTCTGGTGGCCATTTTGTGCAGCGAAGCAGAGCGTGCCGGTTAAGTGCACAACTAGGGATGGTACTGAAAGTTTGGTTGAAATCCCACTGGTAGTTTGACCTGTGAAGGGCGGACAAGCTTAATGCGGACAGATGGATGAACTGACATCCGGACAGAAGGACAGACAGATGGCGAAGGCAAAAACAATGTCTCCCAAATTTTTTTAGAGACATAGTAAACTATTCCATAAACTAATGTAAACAATTCAAATTACTGTCCAGCTCGTAATATAATAAATTTTGTTGTGTGTGATATTTTAAATTTGTAGCTTTCCATGTAAGAAGACATATACTAAAACATCTAATAAAGCACATTAAATACTATGTATTCTGTCATGAAAATTTAAAGTAAATTTATCCACAAGAGTAGAACTTAGTAGTTCTTTTTTGTTATGTAGACTGTTCAAATAATACTATCAAAACTATACCTATATAAACAAGAGGGCCATGATGGCCCTGAAGTTGATCGCCTGTATATAGGCCTCGGGGCAGGGCCAATTTTAACCCAGGGGCTCTTATTTGAACAAACTTGGTAGACACCCATTAGAAGATGTTTCATGATAAATATCTAAGCTCTAGCTTTTTAGGGTTTTTAAAAGAAGATTTTTAAAGTTTTTACTGCACACATAAAGGGAAAAACAATGACCCTTCCCCCCCACCAAATTTTGACCTTGGGGCTTTTATTTTAACAAACTTGGTAGACACTCACTAGAAGATATTTCATGCTTAGCATCTTAACTCTAGCTCTTTAGTTTTTTTTTAAAAGAAGATTTTTAACCCTTTCCCCCATGAGCATATTGTGAAAAATGGCCGTTTTCACTGAAAAGCCTCCTGTTACAAGTTCAAACTGCTATGAAACTATGAAAAATGCTTCAATACTAATCAAACTTGGCACAAATGTTGACTGGACCATTGCCTTTGTAACGACATGCTCAGTCTTAAATTTCCTGTTACCATGGCAACGAGGGGACATCTCAAAATGGCCAAAAATCACTATTTTGCCTTGATTTTTTCCATCAAAATTTATTTCAAAGTGCTGCAACTTCTCAAGGATTTGAGATAGAGTCAAAGGTTTTTCAGCGTTGGTTACACATTACATTATGATCGACCTGGGGTCATTTTTAGCCTCTCACAAGTCCAAAATTTTCTTGGCGATGAGGGGGACTCCGCCCCCCTTCAAACCCCCCTAACTGAAGGGGGCACATCCCCCTTCTGGCAACACCCTGATGTATCTTTTGGATGGGGGGACGCGCCGAAAAAGTGCTCAATTTTTTTAGCAACACTTCTCAAACAAAAACATGTGTTTGGGGCCCAAATAGGACATTTTTTCATTATTTGAGGCCTAAAAAAAAGGGGGGGGGGGGTCGAAAGTGCATTGTTTCGCGTATATATGAGGTAAAGGGTTAAAGTTTTCATGTAAATTCAAATAAGAACAAGAGCGATCAGTAATCACATGTGTCGCCTCATGATGGCCAATTTCATGTTTGGACAAATTTTGTGACAGAAGGACAGACAGACGGACAGTGCACAACTAGACTTGGTACTGATCATTCCTGTAAAGTTTGGATAAAATTGCACCAGTAGTTTTTGAGGAGTAGTCCGGACAAGCTTTTGCGTATCTGGCAACACACAGAAAAAAAACACCTTTTTATCAAAGGGCCATAACTCGGCCAAAAATCATTCAACCGGAAAACCCGTGCAATATGCGCAAGGACTTGAGCTACAGATCAATCCTGTAAAGTTTCATTGAAATTGCATTAGTGGTATAAGAGAAGTAGTCCGGACAAACTTTAAAATTAAAAATTATTAAAGGGCCATAACTCTGACAAAAATCATTGAACCGGAAAATGCTGACAATATGCACAACTAGACTTGGTACTGATCATTCCTGTAAAGTTTGGATGAAATTGCACCAGTAGTTTATAAGGAGTAGTCCGGACAAGTTTTGTGACGGACGGACAGACAGACGGACAGACAGACGACGGAGAAGTGATCCCTATATGTCGCCACTACCCTGGGGTTTTTATTTGAAAATAACTTGGTATACACAGACTAGGCGATGTTTCATGCCAAATATTTTAGCTTCAGCTCTTTCGGTTTTATAAAAGAAGTTTTTTCTTACAGTTGTCATGGCAACCTGAGTTCTGCATGGAATTAAATTCTTTGAACAAATTTGAAAGTTGACTACCACAGCAACTTTCCTTTGAAGTTTGGATAAAATAGACTTAGCGGTTTATGAGAACATGTTGTCTAAAGATAAAGTTTACGGATGGACAGACGATGGACGGATAACGGACCGACGGACGCCAGACAAAAACCGATCACAAAAGCACACCATGTTACTTGTGACAGGTGAGCTAAAAGTTAACTAAGGTATCTTACCATTTGTTGTTTTGGTGACTGATAGCCCTGCAGACAGATCAGTATCACCTTGTGGCTTTCCTCCAGTACCACCTAGCGGCTGTTCTCCAGTACCACCTTGTTGCTGTTCTCCAGTACCACCTTGTGGCTGTCCTCCAGTACCACCTAGTGTCTGTCCTCCAGTACCACCTTGTGGCTGTCCTCCAGTACCACCTTGTGGCTGTTCCCCAGTACCACCTTGTTGCTGTTCTCCAGTACCACCTTGTGGCTGTCCTCCAGTACCACTTTGTGTCTGTTCTCCAGTACCACCTTGTGGCTGTCCTCCAGTACCACCTAGTGGCTGTTCTCCAGTACCACCTTGTGGCTGTCCTCCAGTACCACCTAGTGTCTTGTCTCCAGTACCACCTTGTGGCTGTCCTCCAGTACTAACTTGTGGCTGTTCTCCAGTACCACCTTGTGGCTGTCCTCCAGTACCACCTTGTGGCTGTCCTCCAGTACCACCTTGTGTCTGTTCTCCATTACCACCTTGTGGCTTTCCTCCAGTAACAACTTGTGGCTGTCCTCCAGTACCACCTTGTGGCTGTCCTCCAGTTCCACCTTGTGGCTGTTCTCCAGTACCACCTAGCGGCTGTTCTCCAGTACCACCTTGTGGCTGTCCTCCAGTACCAACTTGTGGCTGTCCTCCAGTACCACCTTGTGGCTGTCCTCCAGTACCACCTTGTGGCTGTTCTCCAGTACCACCTAGTGTCTGTTCTCCAGTACCACCTTGTGGCTGTCCTCCAGTACCACCTTGTGGCTGTCCTCCAGTATCACCTAGTGGCTCTTCTCCAGTACCACCTTGTGGCTGTCTTCCAGTACCAACTTGTGGCTGTTCTCCAGTACCAACTTGTGGCTGACCTCCAGTACCGACTTGTGGCTGTTCTCCAGTACCACCTTGTGGCTGTCCTCCAGTACCACCTAGTGTCTGTTCTCCAGTACCACCTTGTGGCTGTTCTCCAGTACCACCTTGTGGCTGTCCTCCAGTACCACCTTGTGGCTGTCCTCCAGTACCAACTTGTGGCTGTTCTCCAGTACCAACTTGTGGCTGTCCTCCAGTACCAACTTGTGACTGTCCTCCAGTAATACCATTTGCATTTTGATTTCCTCCAACATTTCCTGTATCAGTAGTCTTTACTTCAGGTTTGCTTTGGCTTTCAGGATTAAACTTGTTATCTAATGATGACGGGTTGTTAACAGCATCATCTATTATAGGTAACTCGTTTGCCAGTGAATTGACTCGACCACCTGTAAAAGAAAGTCCTTATCAAATTTGTTGATGTTCCTTAACAGTTGCACAAAAGAGAAACGGCCATAATAGTGGCATGAAGTAGAAATGGTAAATCTAAGAAATAACTATTTGAAGCAAAAAACGAGAAACAATGCTACAAAACCAGATTTTCTCCATAATCGCCATTGTGAAAGTGTAAATGTGATTAGTGAATGTGTAATTTATGAAGCCATTGGTACAAGTAGAACTTAAGATAAATCTGACTTGCAGTTTTAGGTTAACCCTCTACAGACAGACAGATGGAGGTTTCAAATGGCTAAAAAGTACATTTAACTATTGTTCCTGTAGCCACCAAAATTCCCAAATGTAAGCACATTTAACAGATGGATGTATGGTTTAATAATTATATGCCCCGGGACATAAAAAATGAACATCAGTATTGTATACAACACATTGCATTCTTTAACAATGGTGATCATGTTTACCACTTTTTTTTAATCCAATTATGCATGCAAATGTTATAGTTTAATGCCTTGCTATAACTATGACCTTTGAGCTAAAGACCTGGGCTTTGCATGCTACACATCATCTATGATCTATTTACATAACAGGCAGTCTTATGTACCAATTTATTTTGAAACCCCATAATGCTTGGAGAAGTTATGGCCCAGACACAAACTCTACCAACACTTAAGACTATATGAAAAATACACCAAATGCAATACTCTGCTGTGACCTTGACACCTGGTGCTTGCTCCTGACAAATCTACATATGGTGTGCCAATTGATTCTGAAATCTCATCATGTATACAGACGTTAAGGCACAGATACAAAGAAAAATGTATATACACACTTTTTTTTCCAGGATTTTTGGAAAATGACCCATACCCATGGAGATGGGAACTTCAGCCATGTTTTGTTAAAATTGGGGGAAAATGCTTGACTGAAGTATGCAGTGATTAAATGAATGCAAAGACAGTCTAAGATGGTATAATCAAACATTTAAGCACCGTAACAATGAAAATGCCCTTATTTTCAAAGATTTTAGAATTTTGCATTCAGTATCTTACTTTTATATCTTTCATATGGGAATATTTTCTGTGGATTTGGAAAAAATATATTGTTTTCAAATGGGAATATGACTGAATATCGGCTGTAAAATAAGCCCTCAAAAATCCCTAGATTGGACAAAATAAAAATGTAAGCCATTTTATTCCTATAGACTGAGATAAGGAGTAAATGTCAACATAATACATGTAAGCCTTCTAATATGTTTTACATTAGTGGCCATCATTCTGTTCAATGGTTGGAAATTATTTTTAATAGCTATTTTAGAAAAATTTAACCACAAACTCCTATGACAAAATTTACAGAATAACAAAACAAAAAATCTCATTTCCTTTGACTTACTATAATAAATTTGTAACTTAGTGACCTAGAAATATTTCATTTTTCAAGTCTTACCTGTTAAATTCTGGTAAGTTTCAATACCCAAATATATCAATTTACATATGCCCATAGATGCATTACAAAGTTGAGGACAGTCCTGCTGAAGTTGTGTAAATTCTTGTGATGTACTGAAGGCAGCAAAAGTTGACATTCTTGAGCATGGGTCCCAGTCAGCAGTTACATTTTCAGTCACCTGTCTTGCATGAAATGTTGCTTTCACTCTATTTTTGACAAATTTTACTGCAACTTCAGCCATGACTTTACACAGTTGTATTAAACCTGTATCTTGCGATGGAGTGGCACAGTCCATTAACAGATCTTTGTTGTGCAATGCTCCAATTGGTGGATATGGATATAAGAATCCTAGCTCTCCAGAATGTACAAAAACATCCAGGTGTGTATAGTCTTGTGCTTCTGCAATGACAATTAATCACCTTTAAATTATGATGTCACAAAACAAAATCTGCATTCCAACTGTACATTTTGTAAGGTCTCAAATGTCTATATAATTGTTTAATGGAAATCAGATTTATGAAAGTACATTTTTATGATCCAAGGCTTTCATATTCATATTCAATAAAGTGATAATACTGTTCAACTAAATGGAAAAAAACATTCATTCATAAAATGTAAAATCATACATGTATGCATACAATTATATGGAACATCTTCAAAATAAATATTAACAATATATAAACAAATTTTGGTAAAAGTCCAAAAGAAAATGCTTCAAACCATCTGTCTAAGATCTAGGCAATGGGGTTTGGGAGAAGAATATTTTTAAAACTTAACCTTGTATGACTCTTTAAAATTAAATGACACTGGGATGGAACCAATTTTGACTCCAGGATTGCCACTTTAACAAACTTACTAGTGGTATACAATAAAATGCTGCACAAAATATATCTAAGCGGGAACAAGACACTTCACCCCCAGACACTTCATCTCTCAAATTTTAAAGACACTTCACCCTTCAAGACACTTAACCACCTGAGGGGTGAACTGTCTCACTCTGTAAATCATCTAACATATAGGCATTGCATTTACAGATGAGACAATTTTTTATGGATTTTTGTAAGACACTATGTAAAATCAACTGGGGCCCTTGGGTACATGTAGGCAAATTCTGACCCCAATGCCATGGTAAATAAGAAGTTGTTAAAGCTCTTATAAACAATGCTTCACACAAGATGTCAAAACTCAAGGCATATAAGTTCTGGGGATAAAATTTTTCTAAGATTTTCCTAAATAAAGCACTTGTGTTCCCAAATACGGGCCATTTGACCCCATGATTTGATTGTTATGGTTATGATCTGAACATACTTAATAGAGGTCTGCTTTATACTGTTACATACCAAACATGTAAACTTTAGGCCGACAAGATTTTTTATTGCATTGATAACCATATTAAGAAGTATCAATAAAATGAAGTTCAACCAGGGCTTAAAACCTAAAATGAAAAAGTGGCATTTCTTTTCATAATATAAATTTAAGATTATCTGCCTTGCCCTTCTGAACTGATGTCCTTTAACGACAACGAACAATAAGGCCAAATTTGCAACTTAGCAGCTAAGTCAAAAGCTTTTATAAGAAAATGGACCTTAACAAAAAGGATAAGCAGCACTGAAGTCCATGAGCATCATAACACTATCTCCACTTTTTTTCTTCAGAAAGTGAGGATCGAGGTATAAATCGTTTGATAATTATTTGGAACCAATTTAGTATTTTTGTCACTTTCAAGAATATGGATCTGGTATGTCAATTTCATCTCTCGATATTCAATATAAAAAGTTTCCATTTGTTGAATCTTAGTTTCTACTATGTGAATATCAATATGTATAAGTTTTAACTGTGTTAAAATTGTGACAAGTTCCATTTAAAATCAAAAGAAAAACTTTGACCATGATCTAGCATTGATACTTTTGTTTAGCTCAATATGGTTGACATTTATTTCACTCAACCATCTTTCAAATAATTTCTTCAAAATTTAAGTAATTTAAATATACATGTGCATTTTGAAATAAGAATACTTATATTCCTTTATTTATAATACAAATATATAGTATCTGGTTACATATAGTAGCATTTATCAGCAATGTCCGCCAAGTCTCCAAATGTTGTCATTGTTTGTTTTTTTTCAGCAAATAGAAACAACAAGAGGGCCATAATAGTCCTGGATCACTCACTAGATATACATAGCTTGAAAAGGTCAAAATTTATTTTTATCAATGTTTATGTTAGTAATTAGGTCACATGAAGAAGTCAACAAGGCAATGCTACATGCAAACATCTAAACTCTTGGCAATGATGTTTCACAAAAGAAGACTTCAATGTTCATGTAGTTTCCAAGATTTCTTGCATATTAGACAGGATTATCTACTGTTTTCACTGGTGCTAGAAAACCATGTCTTACACTCCCCATGTAAGACAAGTCACATGCTTTTAATGAAGGCATTGCCTTGCATCATTTATGAATTAATTGTGTTCAAAGGATGAAGTCATTTTACCGTTATGAATGAAGTTTGTAAGTTCATATGCTAATATACATGTAAGAAAAAAGTGCATAATGAAAATATCATTTTTCGTAATTTTTGTTCCGAAAATAAATGACATTTAATATGCAAGAAAAATAACACTGGATACTGGTACAGATGGGAATATCCAGCTCTTGTGAAACTTTTTAGCGGAAACTCGACAGAGCCTCGTTACCGCTGTAAACAGTTAGACTCTAGCTATATATAGCCAGTTTAAGATTCTTATAAAGCCTCTCTGGTGTGTGCTCAGGTGAGGTAATAACATATATTTGACTTTATTTGGAAATGCAATGTAATTAGTATACGAAAATTTTACGATTTGTATGTACCCAAGTTTTGTTTGTTTCATGAATTACATTTTTGTACAAACCATTTTTAAATTGCATTGCATGTTTAACAGAACAAATATTTCTATATAAATTAGCTGTCACAAAATGACAATTTAACTGGGGGCAAGGCTGATACTGTTGCTTATTTTATAGTCGGTCAGGTCTGAGTTGGTTCAGGGGTGAGTAGAAACTTTACCAAGCAATTAATTAAGTTATAATACTGATAAGACTAAGTTCATAACCCAATTGTGAAATTGAGCGATTCATGTCATGAAAAAAAAAATGGAATTTCATTTTCTATAATGATCGAGTCATATACACCAAAACTTCTTAACCGGTTAAAATATCACCGGTGCCTACTAAACCTAAAACTTGTAGCAAGTATAACTTATTAACCAGATATCAAAATCAGGAAAATAATACATTTTCTAAAAGCTTATGCATTTATCTATGGCTGCAGGTAAAAATATTTACAGTTCCCATTTAAATAAATGATACATCAATATTTAAAGAGAACTACATAATAACTTTTGTTACAAAAGTATTCATATGACGAAAAAACTGGCTCAGTGGGTATGTTCTGCTATGTTTTTAAAGTGAAACGCATGAAAAGTTACCAACATTTTAACATGCAGCAATAGATAATAGATTTACCTTTCAAATGGTATATAATATTTAATATTATAATATTAAAGGATCAAATGTTCATCTATTAAGTTTTATTTGCTACAAAATGCTTAATTTTTCACTTTTTTATAGGCAATATTTCAATGAGTATATAGGAAAGCTTATCTCGGTTATCTATGTCTCTGGTTATAATCACTTTTTTTATTTTCATTCTTTTCTTGCTATGATACATGTAATTTATAGTTCACTCTGCCCCTTCTTGTGATTTTCATCCAATCATCAGGAGACTCCACTAATCTGTATATTTTGACATTATGCACAATATCTATTAACAGTGATTTTCCTGCTTATATAAAAGACTCAAATATCGCTAGAAATAGCATTTTTATTGATTAAAATCATATTCATCCGCGTATATTACAAACCCGAAATGCAATGGAAATTCTAAATTTAGAATCACTTGATTTTATTCAGGCATTATTTCATCGATTAAATTCCCTGTGGACGTGTGGTGCAGGGGTAATGTGCTTGTTTAATGTGTGAGAGGTCTGGGGTTCAAATCCCAGTTGGGGCAACTGTTTTTGTTTTGTTTGTTTTTTTCATTTATTTAAGTGTCTTTGTTAAGGAAGTTGCCACGGTATGCAAAGATAAAGTGTGGCTGTCAGAAAAAAATGGACATAAATGATTTTTTGATGCAACTCTAGCCATGCAAAATTCTGTATGTATCAAACTCTGGTGCCCTGCAAGATGAATTATAGTACATAAGAATAAACTTATACAAGAAAATACATACAGATCTCAGTGATTTTTTTACCTCTGCATCCTGAGTCCAGGACTCATTGAATTTGCTGTGGATGCAAAGTTTAAAATAATGTGCATCTTTTGGATGCATACTTTTTCTGAGTAGGGAGTCCTGTCTGACAGGAATTTGGTAATAAATACCAAATTGTGTTCAACTTCCAAGTTATGTCAATCATATTCTAGGTCTGCAAATCTTCTACAGATGATGATCAGAAAGAATAATGTGTTTTACTATTAGTGATGGAAATCGGATGAAATTTGTCCCAATCGATCATCAGTTCAATCGGATGGGCCATAATCGATAACTTTTCGAATAAAGTCGCGTTAAAAAGAAATAGGGATGATACATTTCTTCCCAAGGCACTTGATTATATTCAGTAACATGAACTACATTTAGCACTTTTTAACACAGTTTAAACCTTATATAGTCATAATTTTTCGAAATAGATTTTATTTTTTCAATGAATGTCAAATAATAGCATGCACATCACATGATTGTTTACATCACATATTGATCCTGTTCAACTCCAAATTGTCTCCGAAATAATTTTTTTGCGACCGGCAAAGAAAATTACCGTCAGAATTAATTCCCTTTGATACTTTAAACATTTTCGACGACGTCGCGGAACAAATTTTTGTGAATCGATTATCATTGCTTTACATAACAGTAACTGATTATCGGCGACTTGCGACAATCGGAACATCACTATTTACTATAAATAAGCATAAAAATATTAAGGAAAATAAAGTTTTGATTACTCTCAAACTAAATAAATGGAAATAAACTTATTAAATTATTTTGACAGTTTTGAATAATTTCAGTATCAGAAGCATTGTAATTGATGTAGAAATCAAATTGATTTTTTCTTCATTCCATTGTTAATATACCTTTCATATCTCTAAAGCAATATTAAGCCTTGTAACTTGGATTAGTCGGCTAAATTTTGGGACATATAAATTTATAGCCCAGCGAGTCCTAGGACACACACTAAAATATTAATACTTGAAAAGTGGGCCGAGTTGACCCGTGCCGAGTTGGAATAGGGCTGAGCTGACTCGGGGGCCGAGTACGTTTTAGGGCCTAGCTGACCCGGATTCCGATTTAGATTGCAAAGATCAGAAAATACAACAGAGCTTTCAGCCCTATGATTTTTTAATGTCATACCTTGTTCAAAGAAAGAACGTAACACTTTATCCATTGCCACATATAGGTCACATATGAAAAATGCGTCACCAGAGCATTCTTTGGAGCATTCCTCTGATTTCCATGGCAAAGTTGTCATGTACAGACATAATTGTGTCACATAATCTCGTTTGTCTTTTCCGGAAAATAAGCTTCTGGTTATATTGGATGTTGGTAATACAACTGGCACTTGAGATGAAGCAGACTTCGGTGTCAGATAACACAAAGATTCCTTTTCTAGTTCAAAGCACATTTGTTTAAAAACATCGTTAATCTGATCTGCAGAACAAGCCCGAAACTGCGAAGCGTATTCTTCATCCTTCGCTAAAAACATAGGCGGGAAATTACAAGTGCTTTCAGCGATAAGGGTCCTAAGTTTTATATCGTTTTCATTGAAAGGTAAAGAATCAACACTTGTAACAAAATAAAAAAAGAACAACAAAATATATTTATCCATGTTTGACGTGTTCGATCAGCAACTGTTGACTAACTACCGGTGATAGTGGAAATCAGAGCGTGTAAGTTTCATTGGTAGTGGGTAAAAGGACACTAAATCGATCGGAACTCCAAGTCATTTGATATAAGGAGACGGCCCACTGAATTTTCGACCGATATATCCTATAGTAAATCCATCACATTTAAGGCTAAATTCTGGACAAAGCAAACCCGGTACCGAAACTTCATGACCATTTCTTTAAACACCAATGCAGTCCAAGTAAATTTAGCACACAAAAAAATACATTACCCCTTGGAGTTTTTCTGCAGCTTTTATTTTCTGTAATCACTAGAGAATATTCCAAATAGTAACTGGTGTGTATTCTTGTGCAAAGTGCCTCATGAAACTTTCCACCCAGAAATGAAATCCTGCAAAAATACATCAGAAACAACCTTTAAAGTACACAGAAATGAAACTTTATGTACACAATTACTAAAGATATACTTAAAATATAACCAGTATCAATTAAGATGACTTGAAAAATTTAAAAGAACCACTTTCTAGACTACAACAGACTGGTTTTAATTCCGTACCGGGTTGACACCATAAGTACCGCAAAGGGTACGGCTCATTGAATGTTCACAACATATGTGTTTGATGGTAGAAAACATTTATCCTAAGTCAGAAATGAATTCTAAGTGTATTCCCACCACACTATATACTAACATAGTCTATAATTATGTTAGTACAGTATATACTGTAGTGGAGTGGGAATGGACTCCGGTCTCCTGTCTCCTTCCCCTTTGTGGGCCTATTATTATTTCCTTTGAATTCCTAATCAGTTCCAAATTATTTATCATTTAATAATTAACCTGTCCGTGCTCTGTCTTTGCCCTGTCCTGTTTTTGTTCGGGGTCCGCCTGGGCTCCTTGCCGTTGGTTCTTGTTGCTGGGTCATATGGGGGTTGCGTTCATTGAACGCCGCCTTTCCTTGTTGATCTTGTTTATCATATTTTAGAATACACACATACCATCTCTTACGGGGCCTATATATTAGACTGCCTTGAGTGGCATTATTTCATGCAGTCATTTTTTTAAATATGCCACTATGTAGGCATATATAATGAACATCTCCAAACATTAGACCGACTTGAGTGGCATTATTTCATGCAATCAGTTTTTATATATGCCACTATGTAGGCATTTAATGAACATTTCAAAACAACAGAACTAAGGGGTACTAAGTTATATATATCAACAATATAAAAGTAAAAATAAAAAGGTAAATAACTAAAAAAACTATTCTCCCCATAATGGGATATGTGAAAAGCTGACCAGCAGCTGCTACACACTCAAAAACTAACACACTGACAAATGACTATACAAATATACAGAACAGTAATAAGCACATATGGAGTACACAAGAAGCACATGAAAGGCTTAAGCAGATAAAGAATAATATAAAACAAAAATACAGGCCTTATACATCATTTCTTTATGGCAGACAAAATACAGAAAAAAAACAAATGAAGCATGCAACTACATTAAGCATGAACTTTTTTTCATACATGAAGGCAGTAACTAAAGAGTAGGCATAGAGAACAATACTTGAAACAAGAGCCGGTTGAACCGGGTGATGCTCCCCGACTAGGTTTTGGACACAGAAAAGACTAAATCATTTGTAGTTTAAGAGTTATATCCCAGACAAAGTTCAAAATGTGATAATTCCAAACTTAGGCAATGCAGAGTAACTGTTCTTTGCACTGCACTTCTACTCAATTAGATATATCTACCGACTTGCGCGCGACATGTCGTCTCAATATGTTGATGATTTCTGTGAAATGGTTGTAAAATCAGACTTCAAATAACCAAGTTATGGGCCGGACACAGTTTTGCTTCAAATAGCTAGCCAAGTTATAGGCAGGACACGATTTTGCTTAAAGGTCATGCTGTGACCTTGACCTCCAAGGTAAAGACCCAAATGTCGGGCGCGACAAGTCGTCACAATATGGTGATCATTTCTGTGAAATAGTTGTAAAATCAGATTTCAAATAACAAAGTTATGGGCCGGACACGAATTCGGGACGTACGTACGTGCGGACGGACGGACAACCCGGCGACTATATGCTCCCCCGAATTTTTTCGGGGAACATAAAAATAAAACGCTTAGGCACACATAGAACATTTGCATTGGAAGCCACTCCAGGTCTGGATAAGTCTCCGAAATTCACCATAATCAGTTTTTGTTCTTAGCTCATTCGGAAGGCTATTATAGACCTGTATGGTCTCGTAACGAAAGCTTTTCTTACCATAAGTCACTGTATTTACTCTAGGAACTTCTAGCGTGATGTTCTAAAAAGAGTAATAAAATGAATTTACGGTGATAAGTTCATTAACATATTTTGGTGATATATTTTGTACACATTTAAAAACTTCAATAGATTATTGTCTTAATCTACTGACATGTATTGTTGGCATATTAGCTTTACTTAAAAAAAATTCACATTATGAGCAGTAATCCTTAAATACTATCTTCAATGATCTATGTTGCAATTTTTCAAGTTTTTCAGTATTCTGGTCACTACAAAAATGCCAAACTTAAGGACAATACATGTAGTTAAGATTTGAACGAACAAAGAATTTGTAAATTAACAATCTAGTATCTTGATTTAAGAATTTACTCAGTCTAGCAAGTGTTACGGGCCAGGCGTAACGAGAAAGAAAAGCCAGCAACAAACTTGTAACAATTACAAATTTATTCCATAAAAATAATTAAAGAAAAATTGAAAGACAATTTATGCTTATAAATACCTGAAGTCAAAATAAAAATGTAAATCTCAAATGTCTGGTCTGATCCTGGAATGATCCTTTTTTGAATAGCACAGTTTAATCCAAATTAAATCCAAAAACACTTTAAAATAAAATAAATTCCCACAATAAAATCCACAAGAATAATTTAATCGATTTTAAAATCCAAGCTCCAATTAATCTGGCACTAATTACTTAATATCCGTGTTGAATAATACTCCAAGTGTATTGATGACTTAAAAGGTAACTGATGACTTAAAAGGTAAAGCAAATGAAAAAAAAAACCTAATATATACTAGCTATGATCATTCTAGATAAGTCTCTTATATTCTACAGTAATCATAATCTAGCACCTTCAATAATAAAGAATAATCTGGAAATTTCTATCTAAATTAATATATAATGCATGAATCATAATCTAAAATTTTCTACAACAGTTAAGAGACTTCTTATACATACATGTAGTTTATGTTCTAAAAATAGAACATTGATAACATTGGAAATACCAACTTGTCAGAAATAAACTATATACATGTAATATGTTGAATACATAACACTTCCCCTCTTCAAGAAAAAGAAATATGAATGAAATGAATATTTCTTTTACATAAATCCGAACAATGTAACCTATGAAAAACTTAGGAGAAATGTTAAACAATTTTATAATAAAATCACATATATGTTTAATATAAACAATAGCAAACAACAAAGTGAAACTAAATTTCAACACTAGCAAACAACAAAGTAAAATTAAACAATCAGATGATAAAGATGCTAAATGTAAAATACTGAAAATCTCAGTTTTAGACACGAGAAAGTGCATCAGGGATCAAATTATCTTTCCCTTTAATGTGTCTAATGTCAAGATTATATTCTTGCAAAAACAAACTTCACCTCAACAGCCTTTGATTTTTGTTTTTAAGTTTATGCAAGAAAGTGAGGGGATTGTGATCACTAAAGACAACAACAGGCAACTTTGAAGAAGTTAGATAAACTTCAAAATGCTGAATAGCAAGAATAAGAGCAAGGCACTCTTTCTCTATAGTAGAGTAATTTTTCTGATGTTTATTAAACTTTTTAGAAAAGTAACAAACAGGATGGTCAACACCATTGTTGTCTTCTTGGATCAATACACCTCCAGCACCTATGTCACTAGAATCTACAGCTAACTAAAAGTTTTTATCAAAATCTGGTGCCAAAAGAACTGGTGCACTCTTAAGTATGGCTTTAAGGCTGTCAAATGCCATTTGACACTTGTCAGTCCAAATGAATTTGTTTCTTTTCTTCAGCAAATTTGTCAATGGTTCTGCAATAACCGAAAAATTATTACAAAATTTACGATAATACCCTGCCATACCAAGAAATCGCATCAGTTGTCTTTTACAAGTAGGCACAGGAAATAGCTTTGACCTTAGCTACTATTGGTTTAACTTCACCCTGTCCCACTACATGTCCTAAAAATGTTAAAATTGCATGACAAAATTCACTTTTTGCAAGATTAACTGTCAATTTAGCATCACTAAGTCAGTCAAAGAATGCTCTTATAGTTTTGAGATGTTCCTCCCATTCATCAGAGTAGATAATTGCGTCATCAATGTATGCGTCACATCCGTGTAGACCAGATATTACCATGTTTATAAGCCTCTAAAAAGTTGCTGGTGAGTTTTTCATACCAAATGGCATGACTTTATATTGATACAAGCCGTCTGGTGTTACAAAGGCTGAAATTTCTTTAGCTCTATCAGTAAGTGGAACTTGCCAGAATCCTTTATGAAGATCAAACTTTGTTACATACTTTGCTTTTCCAATTTTGTCAATACAGTCATTAATTCTTGGTATAGCATTAGGAAATGAATCAGTGTTTGTTACAGAGTTCATTTTACGAAAATCTGTACACATTCTATATGTTCCGTTTGATTTCGGTACAAGAATACATGGAGAGCTGTAACTGCTTTGACTTGGTTCAATAAAGTCATTATGCCATAAATACTGAACATCTTGTCTTAGGTACTTTTGTTTTACAGGATTTGTTCTATATGGATGTTGTTTTATTGATTCAGTGTTTTCAAGAATGACGTAATGATATATTTTATCAGTCCGTGTGGGAATATCAGGAAATAAGTGTTCATATTCATAAATAAGCTGTTTCAGTTCATCTCGTTTCGACGGTTCTAAGTGAGCAAGTTTTTCATCCAGATTTTTCAGAATATCAGAGTTTTCAAGCTTTGCTGAACCAGGATCAGACTTTTAAAACTTTCATAACTATTAGATTCAACTGAACATTGATTTTGTGGAACAGAGTTAACAACAGATATAGGTTTACTAATTGTGCTATCTCT